TCTTGGAAGTGGAAAGTACTCTAGAGATGATCTAGTATCTAGCCTAACACATGAGGGTGGGCGTCTGACCTCTGCTTAAATATTCCTGATAACAGTTTATAGCTGTTTTTTCCTAATCCAAGATTCAATAAAGGATCATCGACTGCATTTAATTCTCCTGTCTCTTTAGTTTCCTTTACCTAGAACAGTTATCCAGCTTTTTTTTTTTTTCTATCTTTTACGACATGACATTGGCATTTTGAATAATCCAGGCCAGTTGTTTTACTTTAGGTCATCAAATATTTACAAATACTTACTCTGTGCCCGATTCTATACTAGACTTCAGGGAGACAGAGGTGAGACAGACTCCATCCCTGCACTCAAAGAGCTGAGACAGGGAGAGAGATGTGAACATGTATGTGGTCAAAGCAGAGCACAGAGGTACTCTGGCCCAGCAAAGCATGATGAGCAAGGAGTACACTGAAAGAAGTCAAGGGAGGATTCCTGGGGGAGGCGATGTCAGAGCAGAGTCTCTTCTTCAGAACTATACATGTGGCTGGATCAAGTAAGAGGCTGGTGAAGACTAAGTGAAAGGTGCCCAGCTGGGCACAGTGGTTCACGCCTATAATCCCAGCACTTTAGGAGGCCACGGCAGGTGGATCACCTGAGGTCGGGAGTTCGAGACCAACCTGGCTAACATGGTGAAACCCTGTCTCTACTAATAATACAAAAATTAGCTGGGCGTGGTGGTGCATGCCTGTAATCCCAGCTACTCGGGAGGCTGAGGCAGGAGAATCGCTTGAACCTGGGAGGCAGAGGTTGCAGTGAGCTGAGATTGCGCCATTGCACTCCAGGCTGGGTGACAAGAGCGAGACTCTGTCTCAAAAAAAAGAAAGAAAGAAGTCAATTTTATCGATTTATTGATAATTTTACTTGCTTCTTTCTTAACGAGGCTACTAGAAAATGTTAAATTGCATATATGGTTCATATTTATTTGTACTGGACAGCACTATACTTACTCCTAAAAGAATGAGAACTCATTTTCACTGATGCTGATTTTAAAAGGTGTACATGTTAGATTATTCCCAAGAAACCATATTTGGTTATGGAGAATTAAACAATCACAAAGTCAAACCACTACTTACCACTTTTTCCACTATGAATACTAGGTCATTTTCATTTAGAATATTTTTCAAAGGATTTGGTTGGCCTTTGCTGATCAACTGCACTTGGACATCAGCCTGTTAAAACAGGTATCAAACAATGTTATATATACACTTGTATATTTCTATTATTTAAACACATAAAGACCAGTTCTATGCAAGTCAACGGAAAATGTCCTTAAGAGACAGAGTCTCGGCCAGGTGCGGGGGCTCACATCTGTAATCCCAGCACTTTGGGAGGCCAAAGTGGGCGGATCACGAGGTCAGGAGATCGAGACCATCCTGGTTAACACAGTGAAACTCCGTCTCTACTAAAAATACAAAACATTAGCCAGGCGTGGTGGTGGGCGCCTGTAGTCCCAGTTGCTTGGGAGGCTGAGGCAGGAGAATGGTGTGAACCCAGGAGGTGGAGCTTATAGTGAGCCAAGATCGTGCCACTGCACTCCAGCCTGGGCAATGGAGTGAGATTCTGCCCAAGTTAATCATTACTGGTGGTGGGCGCCTGTAGTCCCAGTTGCTTGGGAGGCTGAGGCAGGAGAATGGTGTGAACCCAGGAGGTGGAGCTTATAGTGAGCCAAGATCGTGCCACTGCACTCCAGCCTGGGGGATAGAGTGAGACTCCGTCTCAAAAAAAAAAAAAAAAATGAAAAGAAAAAAAGAGACGGAGTCTCACTATATTGCCCAGGCTGGAGTGCAATGGCTATTCATAGGCACAGGCATAGAGCATTACAGCCTCAAACTCCTGGGCTCAAGCAATCCTCCCATTTCAGCCTCCCTAGTAGCTGGAACTTCAGGTGTGTGCCACCACACCTGGTTAATTATTTTATTTTTCATACAGATGGGGTCTCGCTATATTGTCCAGGCTGGTCTCAAAATTCTTGCCTCAAGCAATCCTCCCACCTCAGTCTCCCAAAGTGCTGAGATTACAGGCATGAGCCACTGTCCTGGCCAAAACTTTATACATTCTCATTCCAACTGGAAGTTTATTCAAAAGTTTGAAAACAGGCTGGGTGCAGCAGCTCACGCATGTAATCCCAGCACTTTGGGAGGCCGAGGCAGGCAGATCACTTGAGGTCAGGAGCTTGAGAACAGCCTGCCAACATGCGGAAACCCTGTCTCTACTAAAAATACAAAAATTAGGCCAGGCACAGTGGCTCACGCCTGTAATCCCAGAACATTGGGAGGCTGAGGCGGGTGGATTGCTTGAGGTCAGGACTTCAAGACCAGCCTGCCCAAACTGGTGAAACCCCATCTCTAAGACTACAAAATATTAGGCAGGCATGGTGGTGGAGGCCTGTAATCCCAGCTACTCAAGAGTCTGGGGCAGAAATCGCTTGAACCTGGAATGTGGAGCTTGCAGCGGGCCAAAATGTGCCACTGCACTCCAGCCTGGGCAACAGAGCGAGACTCCATCTTAAAAAATAAGAAAAAATAAGTAAATAAAAATGCAAAAATTAGCTGGGCATAGTGGTGGGTGCCTATAATCCCAGCTACTTGGGAGGCTGAGGCAGGAGAATTGCTTGAATCCAGAAGGTAGAGGTTGCGGTGAGTCGATATCATGCCACTGCACTCCAGCCTGGGCAATGGAGTGAGATTCTGCCCAAGATAATCATTACTGTTATTAGCCTGGTTTATTTAAATGTATTTAAATATAACTCTATTTAAATACAAATGTATGCTGGACACAGTGGCACCTATAATCCCAGCTAATCGGGAGGCTGAGATGGGAGGATGGTTTGAGGCCAGGAATTTGAGACAAGTTACAACACAGCAAGACTATGTCTCTAAAAAAAGAAAAGAAAGAAAAAAAAAATTAGCCAGGTATGGTGGTGCACTGGTAGTCCCAGTTACTTGGGAGGCTGAGGTGTGAGGATCACTTGAGCCCAGGAGTTTGAGGCTGCAGTGAACTTTGATCACACTACTGAACTTCAGCCTGGGCAACAGAGTAAGATCCCATCTCTTTAAAACATCCTAATAAAAATAGAAATGCATCTATTTAGATATCTAGATAGGATTTTGCCTAATAAAAACAGGATTCTAATAGTTTTATATCATGAATGTCTATATCATTCAATGTTCTTTGGCAGTCTAGTACCACAGCTCTTTTGTCACATAACTAATTCCATATTGTATGACACTTTAGTAGTTTCCAGTTTTTTGCTATTATAAACAATTGATGACATCAATTCAAGTGAACACTTTTGAATTATTTTCTTAAGATGAATACCTAAAATCACACTGATACTATCAGACTGCCTTTCAAAATGTTGCACCTACACATTTATACTTCCATCACTTATATCAGCACATTAAGCATTTTCATGGCAGGGCACAGTGGCTCACGACTATAATCCTAGTACTTTGGGAGGCCAAGGCAGATGGATCACCTGAGGTGGGGAGTTTGAGACCAGCCTGGCTAAGATGGTGAAACTCCGTCTCCACTAAAAATACAAAATTAGCAGGGCGTGGTGGCGGGTGCCTATAATCCCAGCTACTTGGGAGGCTGAGGCAGTAGAATCACTTGAACCTGGGAGGCAGAGGTGCAGTGAGCTGGGATCATGCCACTGCACCCCAGCCTGGATGACAGAGTGACTCCATCTCAAAAAAAAAAAAAAGAAAGAAAGAAAAAAAGCATTTTCATTGTTTATTTTTACCATCTCACAGTAAAACATAAGATCTTACTGTTTTGTCATGTTTGATCAATAATGACGGTGAACAGTTTCTTTTTTTTTTTTTTTTTGAAGACAGGGTCTCGCTCTGTCACCCAACTGGAGTGCAGTGGCACGATCTTGGCTCATTGCAGCCTTAACCTCCCAGGCTCAAGTGATCCTCCCACCTCAGCCTCCCAGTAGTAGTAGCTGGGACTATAGGTGCATGACACTACACCCAGCTAATGTTTTTGCTTTTTGTAGAGACAAGGTCTCACCATATTGCCCAGGCTGGTCTCAAACTCCTCAGCTCAAGCAATCTTCCCACCTCAGCCTCCCAATGTGCTAGGATTACAGGTGTGAGCCACCACACTTGGCCAAGGTAAACAGCAGTTTCTAATATGCTTATTAATCATAAATATCTCTCATTATTTGAAACCATTTGGCTTCTTAATTTGGATACTAAAGCATGAAGAAACCAAACACAGAGAGCCAAAGATACTGTGTTATTCTAATCTACTAGGTTCTACTCTACTGAGTTTCAGGTACTATTGTGGGTTGAATTGTGTCCCCCAAAATGGTATCTTAAGGATCTAACCTCCAGTTCCTATACATGTGACTCTACTTGGAAATAAAATCTTGGAAATGTAATCAAGATGAGGATTAATTTGGATTAGGGCAAGCCCGAAATCCAATGACTGGTATACTTAAAAGGAAAGAGAGTTAGAGGCATAGACACACAGGGGGAGTACCACGTGTCTACAGAAGCAGAGATTGGAGTAATGTGTTTACAAGCCAAGCAATACCAAAGTTTGCTGGAAATCATCAGAAGCTAGAAAGAGGCAAGGAAAGATTCTTTCTTAGAGAATTCAGACAAAGCATGCCCCTGCTGACACCTTAATTTCAGAATTTTAGTCTCCAGAACAGGGAGAGAATAAATTTTTGTGTTTGAAGCTGCCTAATTTGCAGTATTTTGCTATAGCAGCTCTAGGAAACTAATACAGATATCAAGCAACAAAAATTCAGGCAGGAAAGGATAAATGAGTTTACGCAGATATATCTGATTCTTAAGTTTGGTTAGTGAGAATTCAGATAGTGAAGGGTAACTCTATTTGTATGTTTCTTTCTTGATTACTTACTCATGTCCTTTGCCTATTCTTCTTTTATAGTTTTTTGTCTTTCTCATTGATTTTTATTTTTTTGAGATAGTCTTGCTCTGTCACCCAGGCTGGAGTGCAGTGGTGCAATCTCTGCTCACTGCAACCTCTGCTCTCCAGGTTCAAGCAATTCTTCTGCCTCAGCCTCCCAAGTAGCTGGGACTACAGACACGAGCTACCGCACCTGGCATTTTATTTTATTTTATTTTATTATTATTATTTTTTGAGATAGAGTCTCACTCTGTCGCCCAGGCTGGAGTACAATGGCTTAATCTTGGCTCACTGCAACGTCTGTCTCCCAGGTTCAAGTGATTCTCCTGCCTCAGCCTCCCGAGTAGCTGGGACTACAGGCACATGCCACGATGCCCAGCTAATTTTTGTGTCTTTTAGTAGAGCTGGGGTTTCACCATGTTAGCCAGGCTGGTATCGAACTCCTGACTTCAGGTGATCCACCCACTTCAGCCTCCCAAAGTGCTGCAATTACAGGCATAAGCCATCATGCCCGGCCATCTTTCTTATTGATTTTTAAGAGCTATATATCATTATATATATATGTGTGTGTATTATGTGTGTGTGTGTGTGTGTGTATGTATATATATATAAAAATATATATATATTTAGATAAATATAGATAGTACAGCTTCTCATTCATGAGTATTTCCCCCCAGCTTGTCTGTTAACATATACTTCATTTTAGTTTGCTAATTATTTCATGGACATAGGTTTTATCTCCCCAACTATGGAGAGTTTACTTATGAAACACTTAGCACATATTAGATGCTAAATAAATACATGAATGTTTATAGCAGCTTTCGTAATCATCAAAAACTGGAAACAACCCAATGTCCTTCAACTGGTGAACGGATAACCAAACTACGGTACATCCATACAACGGAATACTACTCAGAAACAGAATGAACTGGGCCGGGCGCGGTGGCTCAAGCCTGTAATCCCAGCACTTTGGGAGGCCGAGACGGGCGGATCACGAGGTCAGGAGTTCGAGACCATCCTGGCTAACACGGTGAAACCCTGTCTCTACTAAAAAAAATACGAAAAACTCAGACGGGCAGGTGCGGGCCCTTGTAGTCCCGGCTACTCGGGAGGCTGAGGCAGGAGAATGGGCGTAAAAACCCGGAGGTGGAACCTTGCAGTGAGCTGAGATCCGGCCACTGCACTCCAGCCTGGGCGACACAGCGAGACTCGTCTCAAAAAAAAAAAAAAAAAAAAAAAGAAACAGAATGAACTGCTGACACACACAACAACATAGGTGAATCTTAAATGCATTATACTAATTGAAAGAAGCCAGAATCAAAGGCTGTATGATTTTATTTATAGGACATTCTGGAAAAGGTAAAACTACAGAGACAAAAACTAGGTTAATTTTTGCCAGGAACTAAGGGATGGGAAAGGGCTGACTGTAAAGGGACAAAAGAACATTTTTCGAGATGATAGAAATATTCTATATCTTCATTACAGGGTGATGACCAAATAATTTGTCAGAAGTCATCGAACAGGCTGGGTGTAGCGGCTCATGCCTGTAATCCCAGCACTTTGGGAGGCCAAGGCGGGTGGATCACCTGAGAAAGAGACCGACACCATCCTGGCCAACGCTCTACTAAAAATACAAAATTAGCCAGGTGTGGTGGCACATGCCTGTAGTCCCAGCTACTCAGGAGGCTGAGACAGGAGAATTGCTTGAATCCGGGAGCAGAGGGTGCAGTGAACTGAGATCGCACCACTGCACTCCAGCCTGGTCGAGACACAGCAAGACTTCATCTCAAAAAAAAAAAAAAAAAGGTCATAGAACGGTACCCTAAAAGGATAAAATTTACTGTATATAAATTAACTTCAATAAACTTGACTTTTAAAAATAGACAACTGGCCAGGCGTGGTGGCTCATGCCTGTAAGCCCAGCACTTTGGGAGGCCAAGGCGGGTGGATCACCTGAGGTTGACAGTTGGAGACCAGCCTGGCCTGACCAATGTGGTGAAACCCTGTCTCTACTAAAAATACAATAATGAGCCAGTTGTGGTGGCCTGTGTCTGTGGTCCCAGCTACTCAGGAGGCTGAGACAGGAGAGTTTCTTGAACCTGGGAGGTAGAGGTTGCAGTGAGCCAAGATCATGCCATTGCACTCCAGCCTGGGTGACAGAGCGAGGCTCCGTCTCAAAATAAAAATAAAAATAAAAATAAAAACAGATAATTTTAGGATTACAGTTGTGTTTAAAAACCAAATTGTTCATACCTCATAGAGAAATGGGTCTTTATGGACTCCTTTCTTTTCTTCATTAAATGCCCTGAAATGCAGAACCACATGTGAAAAATAGAACATTATCTCTCCTGTTATCACACTCAGGAGTCAGTCATCACTTTATCTCTGCAGGACACCTATGGGAAAGGCAAAAAGCACATACTTACAGCAGCCCTAAGATGTAGTTGGGGAGAGAGAAAAAAAGCAGAAAAGAAGTATTAGGTTAAGAAGAAAAGAGAAACAAAAAAGAAACCTGGAATAGAGATGAATAGACTGTTGCCCTCAATTGGGTACAACTGATTCTCAGAGGCAGCAGGAAATTGGGGTGCCTACCTCTACTCTGTGTCTTTTCAAACACATCACCAGTTAAAATTAAAATGTAACTTGCCACATGACCTTTCGAAGTAAAACTGATTGGATTCTGATCTGTTACAGAATCAGTAGGTCACCACAGAGAAGTTACTTAAGGGTCCTGGGCCTTAGATTTCTAGGGCTAAAATGGAAGCATCTGTCCTCCATTTTTAAAACTTGTTACTCAAAGTTAGTAGATTTGATTATGTTGAACATCTCCTTTTCAAAATGTAAGCATGAAACTCTAGGATATCATTTAATTATTATCCTTTAATTCAAGAAAGTTTTAAAATAGTGAATCTAAAGCACTTAAACTGTAATCCGTTAACATGCCAAAATGCACACCAGCCTGATCTACACTGAAAACAAATCTTTAGTCATTGAAGGAACCCAACAGAACTGTTTCAGGAAACCATTTATATCTATATTTGATCTAATACTATATGACTTCCTGAAACAGAAACAGAAGAGCTAGGCCTATGACTAATTCACTTTTGCCATATTGTGAAAGATTGTGATTTATCCTTACAGATGTTTATGTCTTATAACTCAGGGATGTTATTTAATCAGTCTTTTTTTTTTTTTTTTTGAGATGGAGTCTTACCCTGTCACCCAGGCTGCAATGTATTTCACTGCAAGCTCCGCCTCCCAGGTTCACGCCATTCTCCTGCTTCAGCCTCCCTAGCAGCTGGGACTACAGGAGCCTGCCACCACGCCTGGCTAATTTTGTTTTTGTAGAGATGGGGTTTCACCGTGTATTTAATCAGTCTTGCAATAATGTCTCAAGCATGTGTAATAGAGGCCAGTCACTCCTGCTAGATGCTGAGAATATCAAACAAAAGCATAGTCCCTGGTTCATAGTCCTAACTGGATTCCAACAAGTAAACCACAGTTCCATGGTGATAAGTGCTCCGAGAGGCAAGCATAGGAAGCTATGGTAGAAATTTAGCTACAGGGCTTAAAATTTATCCTGAAAGCCAAGAGGAACTCACTAAATGACTTCAAATGGGAAAGATCTAACAGTAACGTGGAGGGTAATAACTTGCAGTCCAGGAAAATAGCTGTGAAAAACTTGCAGCACTTCAGAGAACTGAGAATGGCCTGAATGAAAACAGCATGGATGGAGGGAGAATAAGAGGATCGACTAGATAAGGCAGGGGTGGGGGTTTTGGAATTAGAACTCTTCAGAGACAGAATTCAGAAGTAGAATGTCCGCTTGGAGGAAAGGATTAATTCAGCTTTGCAGATATTGATCTGAGGTCCCATGTGAAAATTCCCAGTCGGGGGAGGGGGAACAGTGTTATACTTTCTATGTGAAGTATAAAGGGTTTAAATAGGTGGGGCAC